TATATATATATATATATATATATATATATATATATATATATATATATATATATATATATATATATAAACACCCATGTTTGTATGTATTTCTGTCGGTGGGGTATGAAAAGGTCAGTGGCCCAATGAGGAGCACATGTAGAGCCACATGATCATGCAGAATGAAGCCATAAAATTATTAATGCATCCAATTTTAAAATTAAAAGAAAAAAAATTGATTTTCCCTAACACGAGTTTCAAAAAAAATCGCGAATAATGATTTTTTATTTCTGAATTTTTGAAAAGGCATCGTTAAATAGAAGCACCCAATTTTGATGTAATTCTATTTTTTTCTTTTTGTAATAATTCAATAATAATAATAACAAATTAAAAATCACCACCAACCTTAAAATATTTGCTACCCACACCTACCAGCCAATCACAGTCAAATAGCACATCCCTCAAAATTTCCCACATCTTTTATTCCAACCAAATCAATAAAAAAATAATATATAAATAAATAAATAAATAAAACCACTAATTTTTGTCTCTTCCATTTATTTATTTTGCTTTCTGATAAAGTTCCAAAACTAAAAACCAATCTCTTTAAGAGCTCGTTTGATTCACAAAATTAGATTAACAAGTAGAAGATGTGATCTTATACGAATTCGATTATTTTAAGTGGGCCGACTCGAAAAATTACCGCCACTGACCAAACATCGAATAAAATTTAATTATTTAATAAATCGAACTTAATTTTTAGCCAACGACGCGTAAATGAGAATATTTTACACGTGTATGTATGCGTGTGTATAGTTATGTGTATGCATCAATTGGTGCACTTTATTCAAAGGGCACTACTTTCAGAATTGCACATGTGGTGTTGGTGAGCCACAAATAATTAAGTAGTCACTAATTAAAATATGAAAAATAAAATAAATAAAATGAATTAATAAATAAATAAATAAAATGAAGGAAAGTGAAACCTGTATAAAGCTTAAAAGCAGTGGGGAGGCTTCTTTGCTTAATCACCCACCATATTTCAGATTTATTAGCACTGTACAAACCAGGGTCTATTATTATTGGCTTTCCTCTTTTGCCCCTGGACACAAATTAAATCTCTAATCAATTAATAATTGCTAATTCAATATTAATTAATATTTTATGAAATATATACACACAAACAATTGTAAGTAATATTAAAAGTCTTACATTTTCCAACCCAATTGGCTGCTGTGCTGTACAAAATTCAGATCTTTTGGCAAACTAGAGAAGGCATCTATCAGATCTGCAAATTAAATAATTAATAAACAAGATTAGCAACCCAATTAATTATGAATAAAACCCTACCAAAAAATTGACTTAATTAATAATAAATAAATAATTAAACCACTGCATTTTTTTTATGATTGAATTATAACCAAATGATCGAATTAATGACGAATTTATGACCGGTTGCAACACCAAAAATCTAGCACGAAAACGATTTTTTTTTTATTAGTGGGACATTGAACAATAATTAGTGACAAACAAGAAATTAAATATATCAATCCTCAATTAATTATAACGAGTGATCGAATTAATGAACAAATCGTAAAACGAAGAATCTACCACAACGTCGATATTTGGAAACGATTTTCTACAATTTAGTGACGGAACATTTTGCGACGACAAATAATACGATTTTCTTGATTTGGGTTTAATTAGCAACTAACTAATTGAATTGATTAATTAATCAAGAAAAAGAAGCCAAACACTACTACTCACCATACCATCTTGAGTGATTAAAGGATAATCAGATGCACTGAGATTAATGAACCAATCCCATTGAGCAACTCTCAACAGCATCGCCATAGCATGTAGTGTGTTAGCAAGCATGGTGGGGCCCCTATAAGTGACCAAATTACCCTTGCCCACAATCCACACATTTGCCACCTCGGCAAAGACATCGTTGTTCGCAACGAATCTTGCAATCTCCTTATGATCTTCGTCGGGTGCGCCGGCGTCCACGTGGATCAGGTAGTAGTTCGCGGGGTGGTATAGCGCGAGCATTAGTCGCTTGAGCTTCATCGTGTCGCCGTTCGATGCGGAGATTAGGTACGCGAATGTGGCGTTGTGTGTCGGGTGGTTTTTTTTCGGGATGATTAAGGTTTTTTTGGGTCGGAAAATTGCGGTGGGGTTTGTTGGAGTGTTGTTGTAGAGGAGGGAGAATAGGAGTGAAGTTAGAATGAATGAGAACATTATCAAGATTTTGATGCCCATTTTGGATCAATTGTGTTTGTGTGTGTTTTCTTGGTGTGAATTTCAAAGAGGATGAGTTTTGATGGATTTCATTTGAAGGAAATGAATGAATGAAAAGGGATTGAAAGTTGGTTGGTAGTTTTTTAGGAACAGAGAGAGTGTGTGTGTGTGAGAGACAGAGTGCGTATGAGAGAGAGTTTGTGTGTGTGTGTGTGTGTGTGAGAGAGAGAGAGAGAGAGAGAGAGTGTATGTGTGTGTGTATGGGTGTGTATGAGAAAGAGAGAGTATGTGTGTGTGTGTGTGTGTGTGTGTGTGTGAGAGAGAGAGAGAGAGAGAGAGAGAGAGAGAGAGAGAGAGAGTAGTATAGTTGCTTAAGAAGTTACCTCTAGGAAGAGTGTAGATGAGATCTTTATTAGGGGGTTCCTTTCTTGGAAGGGAAGTGGCATCAAACCTCCAACTGTCACTTTGTTCTTGGTCCATGCTTTTTTTTTTCTTTTTATAATAATAGAGGAATTTTAATTCAGCCGATGTGCACTAGGTAAATTTTCATTTCCATATCATATATAGTAGTTTACAAGACATACGAAAGATGTAAATAACACTGGATCAGTTCATATATGCAAGTTTGACTTATCGGTAAAGCCGCTAGAGAAACTGGACTCGAATCATTTGACTTATAGCTCTTTTATTCTATCAACTAGGCTACGAGATGCCTTCCTCCTTTTTCCTTCTTTAATTGAATGGATGGTGTAAAGTCAAATCAATGTAGTACCCTTCAAATTGGAGGGATTGGATTAAAGATTGAAGATTGTCGTTTTGGTTCAAATCAAAGGACAACACAAATTAGGTTTCATGAATTTTTTTTAATCGTTTAGAAGTCAATTTTATTGCTTACAATTTATAATTATTGAATTGAATATCAAGTAAGAAGTTGATAATTTTAGATTTTCGATGTTTTTTCTTCGTGAATAACCCTATCGGAATAAGATTCTTTTATTTGATAAATTGACGAGAATGATCAAAAGTGTTAAATTGTTATAACACGGGTACCAAATCTTTTTTCTTTATTAGAAGGGGGACCAAATGTGAAATTAATGTAAATTTGAAGGACGAAAAGTGTCTTTTTTCCTAGTGAACTAATCTTTTGCACACATTACATATATGTGTGTATCATCGTGTATAAATTTATGGTATAAAACAACACATACTAATATGTATTGTACATAGGGCTGGAAATTGGAACTAAAATTCTAACTTGCGTTGATTCCGATCAGAATATTTTCAATTTTGATATAATATTTGTCATTCCGAATTCCAAAAATTTTGATCTTCAATCATTTTTTTTTATTAACATACTTGTAATACATTTTAGATTTCAATTTTCAATAGAATTTAAATTTTCGATTATTTTTTTGAAAATTCTACTTTTCCTTTTTGTGAAAATACACATATGATAACAATTTATTATGTGTAGTGCTTAATAGGTGAGACAAAAAATTCAATTCCCGCCTATTCCTAAAGGGGAGTCGTCCTTCGGCTACGTGGAGAAGTTTAGTTAACGCTCGTCCCTTTCTCCGAAAGGGGATCCGACACCAAATTGGAGATGGGGAAAGCTCTTCCATTTGGTGCGACCCATGGTTAGTTGGTGAAGGGCAGCCGTACGTTCTCATCCCGAGACCTATAGAATCGGCCTTTTCCAATTCAGTAAGTGATCTTATTTTGTCGAATACTGGTATGTAGAATTGGAATCTGTTGCAAGAGTTCTTTTGGCCTATTGATCGCAAACGCATTCTTGGAGTCCCAATCGGGGGACGACCAGTGAAGGACAATATTGTATGGGCACTCTCCATATCCGGAAACTTTACAGTTAAATCGTGCTATCATCAGAACCTTGCATTGATGCACGCCAATGTTACCAGTGGAGCGGACGGGGCTGGTGGAAGTGGCTCGACATATCGGCAATGGAGGGTTATTTGGAACATGAAGGTTCCCCCAAAAATCAGAATTTTTGTTTGGCGGGCCTGCTCGGATATTATCCCGACCAAAACAGCTCTCTACAAGCGACGGGTGGTAACTAATCCGATTTGTGATCGGTGTGGAACGGCGGGAGAAACCCTTATGCATGTTATTGGTGTTTGCGGAGGAGTGGCCCATATTTGGAAGAATGAACCATTTTCCTTGCAAACCATAGTTGAAGATTGCACGTCCTTCGGGGCATGGTGGGAAGTAGTGAGTACAACCTTGAGCAAGGAGCAGTTGTATCTTGCGACAATGGTGGCATGGAAATTGTGAGATTCACGAAACAGAAGTGTTCATGGGGAGCATCCACTTAAGATGATGGATATAACAGGGTGGTGTGGTGCCTTTCTTCTATCCTATACAGAGTCACAATCTTGTCCTCTCCCCAAGACGCCACTGAAACTCCAGGAGTGTTGGAAGCCGCCATCGGAGGGTGTAGAAACTCAATATTCGAGGAATTCATATTTCTTCTCTTCATGAGGTAAATATATATACATGTATTTGCTATAAGAATCGTATATCTTATTCTAGGTAGTTTACATATTTATAGTAACTAAATATTCTCAATAACTGTAAATTCCTATCATTGTGATCTGCTACAATCTTCAAGATAGATGAAATCTTTCTTACCAACACTCCTCCTCAAGTTGGTGCATAGATATCTATCATGCCCAACTTGTCAATCATTGCATGAAAAGTTCTACCCGAAACAGTCTTTGTAAAAACATCTGCAAGCTGACTTTCGGACTTGACGAATGGAAATTGAATGATCTTCTTATCAAGTTTTTCTCTAATAAAAAATCGATCAATTTCCACATGCTTAGTGCGATCATGTTGTACTGGATTCTTTGCAATTTGAATTGCAGCTTTATTATCACAAAATAAATTCACAGGTTGTGAACAATCAACACTAAGGTCCTTTAAAACTTCTTTAATCCATAATATCTCGCATAAACCATGCGCCATACTTCGGAACTCCGCTTCTGCACTAGAACGAGCAACAACCTTCTGTTTTTTACTCCTCCAAGTAACCAGATTACCTTCTACAAATGTAAGATAACCTGAGATAGATCTTCGGTCTGATTTGTCTCCTGCCCAATCAGCGTCGGTATAGCCTTCAATGGTAGGCGCTTCATTCTTTGAGTATAATAACCCCTTTCCTGGAGCACCTTTTAAATATCTCAAGATTCTATAAACTGCATTCATATGATCTTCATTTGGAGCTTGCATAAATTGACTTACTATACTCACGGCGTAAGCAATGTCTGGCCTAGTGTGAGTTAGATAGATCAACTTTCCGACTAATCTCTGATAACGACTCACATCTACCAAATTTTGGTTCGAAGATATTTCAAGTTGATGGTTAATCTCCATCGGTGTTTCTGTTGGTTTGCAAGATAGCATTCCTGTTTCAGTCAACAAATCCAACACATATTTTCGTTGCGAAAGAGAAATTCCTTGTTTTGACCGAGACACTTCAATACCTAGAAAATATCGCAATTGTCCTAGGTCTTTCATTTCAAATTTCGTGGCCAAATAATTCTGTAGTTTTTCCATTTCTTCAAGATCGTCACCTGTTAAGACCATATCATCAACATACACGATCAATGCTATTATTTTCTTTTCTTTATGCTTAATGAATAATGTATGATCAGAGTTGCTTTGTTCGTAGCCAAAAGACTTCATTGCTTGCGTAAATCTTCCAAACCAGGCCCTAGGCGACTGTTTCAACCCATATAATGATCTCTTTAGTTTGCAGACTTTTCCTTCATGCATGGGTTCTAGCTTCACACCCGGTGGAAGATCCATGTACGCTTCCTCCTCCAAGTCACCATTCAAAAATGCATTTTTTACATCGAATTGTCGCAAAGGCCAATCACGATTTGCTGCTAATGATATAAGTATCCGAACAGTGTTAAGTTTAGCTACTGGCGCAAAGGTCTCTTGATAATCAATTCCGTATTTTTGCGTGTAACCTTTTGCCACTAGCCTTGCCTTGTACCGGTCGATAGTTCCATCCGCATTAAGCTTCACGGTGTACACCCATTTACAACCTATTGTCTTTTTTCCTTCAGGTAATGGAACCAACTCCCAAGTTGAATTCTTCTGCAAAGCTTTCATCTCTTCATTCATTGCAATTTTCCATCTTTCATCTGTTAATGCATCCTGCACACTACTAGGAATAGACATTCTGGACAATTCTTTGACAGTTAGAGCATATGAATCCAATAATCTATGACTAGAGATATAATTACTAATGGGATATTTTCCAGTAGCTTTAAGGTCAGGCTCATAATGTTTCTTTGGGATACATTTATTTAATCTAGATGTAAAACGAGAAATAGAAGGATAATGTTCACAGGATTCTACCTCATTTGGGAGAGAGTGAAATTCTGGCAGATTTTGAGTATGGTCTTGAACATTCTGGGGAAGCTCCTCGGTTAATGGTGTTAAAACGGGTTCTTCTGGAACATCATCTTCACTTGCCATTATTGCATCATTCTCATTTAATTTCAAAGGAATCGAAGTATCTACAGTTGGATGAGAACTCGGTGGTTGATCAAAACAATTTTGATAAATATTGAATCTTTCCGCCACAGCCTCGAGCTCCAAAAAATCAGTCTCACTCTCGCTCCTTGAAATTCCATTGTTTCCTTGTAAAAGCTCACACTCTTCATGCTTGTTCTCCCCCTGAAGAGATGAGCGTGGAACCTCGCTGTTGTAATATGGCTCGATTTCACGAAACGAAACATCCAACGTAACATGCAACTTTTTATTGAGAGGATCATAACATCTATAACCTTTCTGAAAATCTGAATATCCGACAAAAACACAGCGTTTCGCACAAGGGTCCAATTTACTACGCAAGGCTTTGGGAATATGAACATACACTGTACAACCAAACACTCTTGGTTCCAAATTTGGTATATGTGGAGTTGAGCAGAATGATTGTAACTTTTGTTGAGGAGTTTGGAATTCAATAACTCGAGAAGGAACCCGATTGATAAGGTAAACGGCTGATTTAACCGCCTCTCCCCAATAAAATCGTGGCATGTTCATTCCAAATAGTGATGCTCTTACGACCTCCATAATTTGCCTATTCTTTCGCTCCGCTAGACCATTCTGTTGTGGGGTGTAAGTACATGAAGTATTATGCCGTATGCCCAAATTGCGCAG